CAAAATACAATTAGGAGGGAAGCAATTTTCTGTCAACTAAAGAACTATAGCTTTGACCCCTTGTTTGGATATTACATTTTGGGGCTTCTCTTGCAGTGAAGGCTGAATAAGACAACATGCAGAAATCATGTTTTCTTCATGATATGAATACATGGACCACAGGGTTCAAATTTTAGGACCTAGAACTGAGATCAGTTTTGCAACAAGATAGGAGAACTTAGAAAAGTTACTTAATCTATCTGAATTTAATTTGAGGTTTTCCTCATTACTAAGTCAGAGCTACTAAATTTCTGCCCTGACAACTTCCTTACACAGCTCTAAAGTTCAAAAAGGAACACTGTATAAACTCTAAAAGCTTAGGCATTTCCATGACCTGTAAGGCTGAACCAAATGAAACTGTCAATATTCACCTGTTGTTTTTTCTATATGAAACTCGCAATTTCAAACAAATATCTAGGAAATGTGGAGGGATTCTCAGTCAAACTTACAAACATGGTCTTAATCACAGTTATCAGTGAGATAGAGATTTGTGTCCTCTGTTCTTTCCTACATTGGTAATCCTGAAAACATTTCTTGCTTCTTCCTCAGACACATGCATCTAAGGAAAAATTAACAACATTCTTGGCTAAAATCCTAGCTCAAAGAGATGTAACTTCATATTGAAACCTCAAGGAGAAATACCAACTGACTGGTACAGAGGGAAAAATGGGATTAGATGTTTAGTTTTATTATTGTAACTTCCTTAACTAATGAAGCAGACCAAACATTGCAATGAGCTGTGTCTTTCAAATCTGATTTATTTGAATTTGATCTGGCTGTGGACTCTCAGCCATGGTGCCTTGGGCCTCAGTTTCCCCAGCTATGGTATGAAGGGGTTGGAACTATGGTCTTGAAGATCCTGCTCTGCTCCAATATTCTCTGACCTGTAGTATTAATGAGTCACAATCATCAAGTGACCATAAAGAAGGAAGAAACACTACTAAGGCTCCTTAGGATGTCAAATATTTGTGTTAAAATTAAAATGTATCTATACTGTAGAAACTCAAAAATAATTTTCCAGATGAAAGCAAAAGTTAGGCTAAGTAACGTTTTAACAAAGTGAAGTTGACCTGAGAACAGGATGGAAGCGAAAGAGAACAATAAACTACATAAATAAATAAATAAATAAATAAAAAGAAAAGGGTACTAGTCTAAAGTATCCACATCAAAATATTGCTTAAAAAGGTCTCAGGTGGCATTTGCAAAGCTGTCTTAAGAATTAATGTCCCTTGAAAATATGGAAGTCAGGAATCTAATGTCAAAAATGAGTTCAATTTGTCCTTCTACTAGATCTGGCTTCTTTAAACATAACCTGTATGTTTATCCCAATGTGAGACAATTGAGTAAAATCAAATTTCTTTTTTAAATGGTATAAAACCTATTTATATCTATAATAATTTGATTTAAAAAACAGTGTAAAATCTATATTCCATAAAGCCTATGATCATGAAGGTAATTGTGAAGGAATTTTTAGAAAAGGAAAACCATGCACAAATGCAAAGCAAGCAGAGAGAAACACATAGTAGGAAACTAATAGAAGTAATAAAACTAAAAATATTTCATTGCCACCTTGTAGAATGTGTATTCCCTTCCCACTAATTTTCCCTCTACTATAAAGAAAAACACAAAATATATTCCTTACCAGCATAAAATTGGTACTATGTTTTTGGAAGGGAAACCACAGGCTATTATAAGCATTTTCCAAGTTGATTTATTCTCTTCAAATGATTGCCAGAGAATTAGATTTCCATTTTTCTTTGTCTAGTCATTCATGCTTTTTCTTGAAGATTTGCATGAAAATAAAAGAGCTGAAAACTCAGCTGAATAATGCATCAACTGAAGAATTTTTATAAATGCATATCAATCATTGGAGAACTATGTATATATAATGTAACAAAGGCATAATTGGACCAAATGTCTATATTTTGCAAAGACTTAATTTTGCAGTCTGTTAGATTTCCATGCACAAGTAATCACAGCTGAAGTTAGCTCTTGTACACTGTAGATAGCAACTCCAATCAGGCAGTGGAACTTCTAAACTGACACCCCAGGGAACTATTAGGTCACTAATTCACTCTTTATCTGTGCACACATACACAAAAGTGACAATATGCCTCTAAAATCTTTTGGGCATTTTAAAGTAACACAATTTTAAGATATGTTTTCCTCTTTGATGAAATAGATTGTTTTATGATACATGAAATACAAAATAATATCCCTTCAGAGCAATGTCAGACAGACAATAAGCACGGGACAGATAACTCATCCTACGGGGCTATGTATTCTCAGACATGCCATATTAATGAACACAAATAGCATATGGCCCTGACTGAGGAAGATCCTCTTGGCTTACAAAGTTTCTGAAAATTAACTATCCCCTTATTGTATGATCTAGACGAACTATTTAAAATTATCCTCTTTACTTACATTATATTGAGAATAAATTTCCAGAGCTTTCTTAAGATTCCAAAGGTGTTCTGGTTAGGAATTCACCACTAAATTGTAAACTATGGAAAGGTGGGAAATTTTACCTCCCTTATCCCTATCCTTAAAGCCTTTACATAACAGGTACTCAACAAAAATTTGTGACATGAGTAGACTTAACTATTTCAGTTTTAGCTGACAATAGGGTTGCATCATTAACCGTATCTTGTGCTGGAGGGGCATGCCTCTTCCTCAGACAAAAGAGATCACTGTGAAAGACTGTCATTTTATTAGATACTGAAATGTCACCTTAAAAATCACTTAAGGATTTCCTAAGACCTTTTAATACCTCTTTATTTTAGAGCACACGTATTAGCTTCAAAATATTCCTATAAAAAATCCGAGCCTCAAGAAGCAGTGAAGGAAGAGCCACTTATTTATCTATAACAAAAAATTGCAAACTACAGTGAATGGGTCAAACCTGGCTCATAGGCTAAGAAAGTTTTCTTTTTTCTATTTTTGAAAGGTGGGAACATTCAAAAGAAGAAAGATATTTTAAGACGTAAAAATTAAATTAAATTCAACTTTCAGTGCCCATAAAATAAAGCTTTACTGTAGTAGATACCCTGGTCCCTTTGCATATTGCCTGCAGTTGCTTTTGTATCACTAGGGCAGAACTGGGTAGCTGCGTAGACTAGAAAGCCTAAGACAGTTACTACTGGTGCTTTACAGAGAAAAAAAAATAACAGTTTGCCAACTCCTGTACTAGATGTTCAAATGTTTTAAACCACACCATTTAATAAGTATGAATTTGGCCTGATGGTACTTCCCCTATTAACTGGAAAACTGATGGGAAAGAGTAACAGGAAGCAACTAGTTCAGCATGAAATGCAGCTGTGTAATTCTTCTGAGGTCATTTTGGTGAGCCAGCATTTCCAGAGTGAACTGGAGGCAATCTGGGAGTGTTTCTTAATACCACGATTTGCATATCTTGGGGAAGGCAACTGTCCCCTCTGGGTCTATAAACGATGTTACAGGTCTGTTTCTTTGATCCCTGTTGATTTTATAAGACCTAAATTTTATACTTGAATATATTAACATTCATTTCTATTTGATACTCTAAAGATTCTATAGGATTGGCAATGGAAATTCTGTCTGCAACCTTTAGGTATAATTCTCCTTTGGAATACTCTGTGTGCCAAAAAACCTTCTGATTAAACTTTCCACCCAATCTTACTATAAAACTGTATAAGTATGATTTATAAAACTTTCATGCTAAAAGCAAATGGTGAGATCCCGTTCAGGCAAAAATAACTTTCAATTCTCAACAGGCTAAAGTTCTTGAGAGAGTACTCATTTTCTCTCTTGGCTATGGAGTGTGCTCACCCCACACTCCATAGCCAAAGGTGCTCAGAAGATGCCTCCTTCTATCAGAGATGCAGTCCAACCTCCTTAACTGCATTTACATTGGTTGAAAAAGAATAACGAGCCCTTTTTGTTACATTCCCCATAGCTATCTCTTTATAGGAGCTAATACATGGGAGAAGAATCACTATTTATCATTTATTTGCATTTCTATTATAAAGGACAATCTTTGCCTTACAAGATGGTTTTGGCTTCATTTCTTTTTGCCTGAAGAGTAAAGTCAAATGTTTGAATTACTCAACTGAGCCCCAAATGTATGCATTTTATATTTATCTACAGACTCTGGCAATACTTTCAGTACAGACACAGTATCTTAATTAAGCTAACAAGTGATTATTCTTAACCACAGAAGGGTAAAGTATAAATGGAGTCCTGATTTGCCAACTTCCCTTCCTTTACTAAGAGCTTTTTTATTCTGGTTAGTCATAAAACAATCATTATAAAAGATACAAGAGTCAAAGTAAAAATTAACAAATAAATAGATCATCTGGACATTCTCATGTGGTTGCAAAATCTGGCCCAATTTATATCAAAATGTATAGCTGGAAGACAACCCAGTACAGGGATGCTAAAACATGGCAATACAATGCTACTTTGCTGCCCTTCTGCACCCAGACGTTTTCCCAAGGAGCATGCACTAGGTCTCAGAATCCTCAGCACAGCACTCAGAGAAGTCACTCCTAGTAAAACCTATGTGCTATCCCTAATCTGCAATGATTTTCCCATAATGAATTGTATAAACCCCAGGAGAGGTATAAGATAATCCATTGAGATAAGGAAAGATTGCAGTTTTTAGGTATATATACATTATAACTAGAATAGAGTATATACTCAAAATTCTTATGTTGACAGGATCCGGGGTAGAGAGGAAAGAACTGTTTGTGTGAGTTGTTCTGACTCACCTGAAATAGTTTGAATTCAATTTCAGAATATTGGTGGACTTCTCAAAGGGAGGGTATGATTAGGACATAAAAGGCTGTTCAAACTTTGGACGGGACGCACCCCAGTGCTTCTGAGCCTTCATGCCCTGCTGGCAACCCTCGCCTCCTACATCGCCACCTGCGGGCTGACCCCAACCCCCCACCCCGACTCCTGACCCCTGCCGCACTCACTGTTTCTGAAGGAGGTGCTGCTGCTGCTGCTGCTGCTGTTGCCTGTAGGTCTCGATCGTGTGCTGGGGCAGGTACTGCATGAGTTCCAGGGACTCTTTGATCTTCAGCAGCATCTCGTATGTCTCTCGGCCCCTCACCTGTGCAAAGGAGCACACGGAAAGGCAGAGAAGGCGAAATGAGGAACTGCAGAATGCGAAGCACCGCCGAGCCTCACTGTGCAGATCCGCGCTGCCTGCCTGCCTGCCTGCAAGAGTCTATCTGTGACGGAGCATAGACGCTGCAGGGCTGTGGCCCCGTGTGCACGGGCGACCCATATGGGCATGTGGAGGGGTGGAAACCTGGGTCCCGTGTGCACGTGACCGGATGAGGCCGAACAGGGAGAATCTGTCTTCCTGTCCAGCTCTCACACTGAGGTAGGCGTCCTTTCCACGGTCTATTTAGTGCAACACTGTTCACTTTTGTGTGTTTTTTCATTGGTGAATTTGCCATTTAGAATGGTCCCTAGGTGCAGTGCAGTGCTGTCCAGCGTCCCTATGTGTGGAAGGCTGTCACACTCCCTGTGAGTAAAATATGCTCTAGATAAGCCTTGTTCAGGCATTAGTTATAGTGCCATTGGCTGAAAGGTCAGTGTTGATGAACCAACAGTATACATTATATGAAGTGTCTTTAAACAGAAACACACATACAACAAAATTATTGATCAGCAGCTGCTGAAATCACTGTGACCAGAGCTCACAGGAACCTGCCCCTGAATTTCCCCTAGGGAGCAACGTTTCAGTACTTGCTAGCACAGTGTTCACAGTGACTTTATAAAACAAAACAATCACAAAAAAATGAGAATGAACTCTAACTATCTCTGGAAGGACATAAGCTTTCAGCCAGGGTAAAATGTGTTTCTTTCTTTAAGAAAGTCTCTTAAGGGCTTTACAAAGGATGGGCAGAATCAGAGTGAAGCCAGCAGGGCACTGAGGGCATCTAGGTACCTGGGGGCCCTGAGAATGGGCACTGATTTACATCTAATCACCTAAGCACTTCGCTTGCCTCATCCCAGTCCCCTTTTTGAGTAGGAAATGTGGAGTTTGTCAGAATTAAGAAATGGAAAGATTTTCTCTACCTTATGCTCTAGAATCACCTTTGATAAGCTTTTCCTGACCTCTGTCTTCTAGGCGACTTTTCTGTCCCTTCTCGGTGCTCCCACAGCTTCCTGCCCAGCTCTAGTGGACCATCTATGTTATTACAATATAACCATCTCCTCTCGGAAAGCAAGCTCTTTACAGGTAAGAATTGTATCCTACTGATCTCTAAATGCTCAGAATCTAGCACATTTGCCACTCAACCCATTACCAATCAAATGTATGTTAAATGTAAAGACTTATTTATTAATTCACACAGTTCAGTTTGGCTAATTCTTCACTAAACTTAAGATGTAACTTAGGATTACAGGGTACCTCCTTCATTAGTATAAACGGAAACTTCATTAAAAAACAGCTCTTCAAAGTGTTCCTATCTCAGCAGCTCAAAAAATATTAGGTCCTTGGAGTATTTGGTGTATCAGGATAATGTAACTTAAAGTTTACAAGTCAGTTTCCATATGCAGCCTGAGAAACAAGACAGAGAATCTTAACCAACCCACCGTCTTTTCTCCCAGGCAGCAGTCTATTGCCCTGCAGGTCAGGGCTCAAAGCAGGTAGGGAAGCAGGGAAGGCACACCCAAACCTGTTGAGTTGCTTCAGCTTCAACCCAGGGCAGTAGCTCCCTGTCAAATCCTAGCCCTGCTCGACTTTGTCTTATGTCAGTTTGTTTAGGTGGCAGCAAGGGTTACCAAACCTTTGCTGCCACTCTAGATAGCAAAGATCTAAAGTAGTAAGAATTCAATGAACTGTGGCCACAGTCTGAAAAAGGGCACCTTAGTGGTTTCGAGAGGACTCATGTTTTTTGTGGGAATGAAACAAGTTCTTACACAGCAATTGAACAATTGGGCTGAGTCTGCTGGCATTCATGTTAGTAAGGATTCTGTCTCACTTGGCTTTTTTTATAGCACTCCCTAAAAGATATCACAAATGCTCTATAATTGGTATATATTACTTAACTCTGTGAACTCTTTCTGACAAGATTTTAGTCCTAAATTGGCATGGCCATGCTGTCTAGGATAACGATCATTCTTAGAAAATGAACTGCAAATTAATTTTAAATATTTGGGTGAGAAAAATTCTACAGAGGGTAGCTCTGACTGGGTGAGTAGTAAGTAAAGGAACCCACACTATTAACATGCTACAAAATGGTGGAGGAGAGTGATAATTTCCTGATCTTTTTAAAAACTATATTCCCTCTGTTTCCTCTCCCTAGCCACCACCTTTGTCACTGTCACACATAATCAGAAGATGGCCATCAAGGCAAGGCTCGGCCAAAGGTGAAAATGAAGCAGTCATGAATACCCAAGGGAGACTCACTGGTAAGTATAACAGTTCATCATCTGGAGATCTTCGTTTCTTGATGGATGTCATCTGGATGCCATGTGCATTCTGACGAAAAGCTGGTGGAGGGAAAACACGAGTTTCATCCTGGGAACCTTTCTGACAGCAGCACGAGCAAATCCCATGAGATTAGGGCTTCTAGTTTTAAGCATCCATTTAATTGCTGGTGATTGTGTTTGCATTAAGCATAAATTTAAAATAATGCGGTGGGACTTGGTGAGAAAGAACCAATGAAAGCCAACTGTTAGAATCAAAGCTCACAGGTTAGAAGAAAACATGGATCAGCGTTTTTCACACTGTTACCTAGAGGTCTAGGCCTCTGTGGGAGTGTACCTCATGGGCAAGGGATGGCTGCAGGTAGAGCATAGAGCCACAGACCCTGGCTCCGGTGCACCCAGGGAGCCCATTCAGCACCTCCATCAATATGATGGTTCTTCCAATTGGCTCTGGGGCCTCACATTATACTTGCCCCTTAGCCCTCACTCTTACTATACAGCTTATCAGATGTCACTCCCCGATGTGAAGAAGACTCAACCCTGCCCCTCTTGGCCACTACAGCTACTTACGGCGCTTCGTACCGTCACCGTTCTTTGTGCTGTCCGTGACTTGCTGCTTTCTGATGCTGTCTTCATCTGCCTTCCTGTCTCTGCCTGGGCAAGCACAGATCCGGGCCTCAAAGCAGCGTCGGCCTAGGACTTGGCCACTAGGAATTAGAGAAGAGGAGAAGAAAGGATTAAACTGAAAGGAATCTTTAAAGCCCTGTGGAGATCCCCCATTCCCATTTGTGCTGCTGGCCACCACCAGCCAGCACCACCACCAGCTCAGTCATGGCTGCTTTCAGGGTGGACCCAAAAGCACTTGGCAGAACACAGAAGTGCTCACATGCCACAAGCAATATTAGTAAATAACATTCCATATGTTCTGCAAAGAATCTCCAAGCCACTAGCTGAACAGCTGTATTTAGCTACATATTTTGAAGGAAATTTAAGTGAAGCCAGTGGATGTCTCTGGATAAAATCCCCTTAGGCAGCCCAGACTTACTCAAAGAAACTGTTAAATGCCTTGGGGGCCACGTGAAAACAAACACTGTCTAATCAACAACTATTCCAGTCAAATGTCAAGAATTCAGGTATGAAGTGACTTGCATACCTTTCCAGTTCTTTTTTTTTCCCCTACTGTTGCCCACCCAGTTCTGTCTCCAGTTTCTTAGATCTTTTATGTAAGTGTCTATAGGGAGGAGTCAAAGCACAAAGGATGAAATCAAGGGTAGCTCTGCTGCACATGCAAACTCTACGACAAAGCAAACAATTTCACTTTGCTCTCTGACTAAGATTTTTGCAGAATGACAGTTCTGCATGTGCCACTTACTCTCTGGTTTCCAGAGTAACAATGATTAAAATTGGACGGCGATTCATCCCTCCAACACAACTGCTGTTGCACATGAAATTGTACAAGACTGTTGTGAATTCAGTGCCGACCTGAATACGTGGAAGAGAGTTTGTGTTAGCAATGGTTTGAACAGATGCTCTTGCTTCTCAGTTCTTCCCTCTGTTTAAATAACCACACTTCTGATGAAGTGATACGCTCTTTTCTAGGAAAGCAAGCTCTACAATCCATTGTAGATTCCTCTTTGCCTTGCCTCTTGGGAAGCTGAAAACTAATGCTTGCAACATTGGATGGTACATGAGGTGAGATAAGCTTTAAAAAATAATGATCTTTGACCTCTTCAGCTGATTTGTACCACCCATTCACACGGGGGTCATCATATATATCATATCACTGAAAAGGAAGAGCTGAAAGCATTACCAAAAATAGCAGCAATACTGCAAGGATATTTCCCCTATGTGGATAAAACAGTGTAACAGATTTGAATGTACATGTCTATAAATAGTATTCTGGAGCATAAAAGATCCTCAGAATTAAATCATCTAGTCCAAAGTGCTCATTTATGGGTCAGGCATCTGAAGTCCAGAGAAGGAAATTCATAAGCTAAAGGACCACACAGCAAGCCAGCAAGCTAAAAGACTGGTCTCACTCTGCTTTTCCAATCTGCCACCTGTTCATTCAAACTTCAGCTGGGAGGTATCACTTAGCGTCACTTGCAGACTAGGGTACAAATACTTGCATCCAGTGTTGGGGCATGTCTACTACTAGTTCAATTTCTAGGTATATTCTCTGGATACAATAGGGTTATGTGTTTACCCAATTGCACGTTCAATTATTATTGACCTTTAAGATGGAAAAGTGAACCCCAAATCATGTTACCAAGTTCACTTAGTACCAATTTAGGAGTTTTGAAGGGGATAGGAAGCAGTCTGTGGAAAAAGGAAGAGAAGAAATAGAAAAGTTTATGTATTTAATGACAAAGACTAAGACAGAGATAGATGCTAGAAACACCCCCTACCACCAAACACAAATGCTCTCCCAAGTCAGCCTAGTGTTTATCTTTTTACCTGGGGGGGCTCATAAGGTACCAGCACACTCTGCCTTCCTGTGATGGGGTCTTCTACATACTGGGCATGGCTGTTTCCTTCTACTCGAATCAGATGACTAGGAGGGGCAATCTGTCCTGCAGAACAGAGAAAGACAAAATGGTTAGTTCTTTGCCCTCAAAATAAAACAAAATTAAACTGCGTAGACAGAATATTGGTGGCAAAAAATGGTTTGTTTAATAGAGGAAATATATGTCCTCGAGAAAAGAAACTGATCCTGTCGTTAGATCTCTAATGCAAGACAGTGTCACAACCTTTGTAGCAACAGAAAGGCCCAGAATTTCTCATTTGCATTTAGGGAAACAGTCCTGTGTTTCTGGTGCTTAAGGTTAATGATTCAGGCTCTCACAGAATTGTACAACTACCTCTCTGACCTGATCCACCCAGGAGATTTTGCTACGTTCCATGGGAAATGGAAGGAAAAAAGAACAATTAATTCAAAAAAATCAGCTTGAGAGATGATGCTGCCTAACAATTGACCAGCAAAAATACTAAATAAAAGGCAAGAGAGGGCAAGGACATAACTTTCACTTGGCCTCTTCTTTCCTCCATCACAGGCTCCATTGTTAGACCTTGCTGCAGCCACAAAGCTGAGAAACACACTGGTTCTGTGGTGCTGGAAGAGTCCCAGGTTGGAGGATAAGAAAAGGGAACCATGTTTTAGAGGAAGCCTAGGCAAAGTTTCACCAAGTTATTATACTTGACAGAGCTCCAAAAGAAAGGAGTTGATCTGAAAATTGGGAACCAGAAAGGTGTTCTTTACCTTTGGCCATGTACTGCCGTTCAGTAATGTGATATTCAATAAAAGCAAAAAGTGAAGTGTGTCAAGATGCTTTCTGAGACATCACCTATTATAGCCCAAACTAAAAGCAGCCATTATATCAAACAATGAAAAAACAAAACAAAATGAAAAGCAGTTATGTCACCTTGATGGATAGAGGGTAGTTCGGGAAATCTGCCATAAAAGCCTAGCTACAAGAAATAGCCTTTATGGCATATTGTTTAAAAGCTGTGTGGTATAATGTTGAAAAGCAAGACACAAAGGTATGGATAATGGGGCCATGTAGACAAGGACTAGAAATTAATATGCAAAAAATAGTTGTGTGAAGGTGGAAGGATTTTAACTTTATTTTCTCTTTTTAAATTTCTATCTGCCCTCTTTCTCCCTCCATTAATTTTTTTCCGTCATTTCTCCTATATTCACACATTCTACCTACCTACTAATCTTTCTATTTTTTAATATATTTTCTGTAGATAGTGAAACTTCCAGTCCTCCTACACCCTCACCCCCCTTTGATGAACCCTTATCTTTCTCCTGTTCCTCCTTTTCCACCTCTGTGGTCTCTACTTCCCTTCATAGAACCTTAGCATATCAGATGTAAGGGAATCCTTCCAGACAGTGAGCTCTTCTCTAAAGCTGTGGTTGGACCTGAGGCTCAGAACAGAGGGTGTGACTTATGCATGGACACAGGGCTTAAAGGTGGCCTCAAGATACCTGCTACCTGACTCCCAGTCCCTCACTTTACTGTCTCCCCTTCCAAGTTTATGTTCTAGATCTTCTGTTTATTCCTTCTGTCTGTTATTCATTTTCATTTCTTTTCCTTCTTTCTTACTTTCCTCTTCTACTTTTTTTGTATTTCTCACATTTTATGGCAAGCTCTTATTTACAGTGGGCTCTGATCCCTCTAGCTCTCAATTGGCCTAGCCTTGACAGTCACTTTGAGAAAGGCACTAAAGTTGAATGACACTCTAGCCTGGTCTGAACAGGCAGATGCTGCATGATTCCTCTTATATCCTCTCATGAAGAAAAAAAAAAAGGAAGAAGCGAAAACACAAATCTAGGTCATCTAGTAATTATCAATATTAAACAGTTCCTTCATTGTGAGAGCCACACATTTATTTATCATTATTCTCAGACACTCTGTGAGCAAAAAGGTAGACTGAGCAACCATCACATGGGCCTCAAACAGGAATCTCCGCAGGATCTCTATTTTTCTGGAGCTTAGTTGAACAGCCACAGATTCTCATTTTCCTTACCCTCATTGAATTCACGGCTCAGCTCGTGGTTGGGACACCGTTTCACCACCTCAGTGACGTGCTCAGCCTTCTTGTAGACAGGCATGGCGCGGATGACAGCTCCCTGAGGGGGAGGGGTCATCACTTTGATCTGGATGGGACACGTCTTTGCAATTTGGCAGTACAGCTTCTTCAGTTCAGTGGAATACTGCTTAGAGATGGGCCAGTGGTGGAAGGAAGGAAAGAACCATCAGGAGATATTGTTACAGGCCAAATCAGAGCAAGGAAATATGTCTACTTTTACAGTCTTTATACCTGTACACTTACCCTTGGACACTATATGTATAACATCTGACATCTAGCTGTCTTATTAGAGAGACTTTTATTTGTTAATCAAGTTAATCATTTTTCCTACTTTTAATAAAATACTGCATCTACAAAAGGTTTCACATTTACTAAAACACAGTTGTGTCCTTATTTCCTGTTACCTTTTCTTGCGGATGAAGAAACTGTGTCTCAGAGGTGTTTAAATGATTATTGCCATGAGCCGCTTTATAGAGTACTAGAAACTACATGGAAACACAATGTTCTCATGTACTGAGTGTATTAAACAGATTATCATTTATTCTGCTCTTACAAATACTCTAGAGAAACTCACAGCAATTAGCATTTATGGAAATGTTTTCAAGACAGAATATCTGATGAAGAGTGAAGAGATTTTATCCAAAGCCAGCCAACTAGAGAACTGCAAAGCAGAAGTTCCCCAAACTATTGTACACTTATCTTCCAATGTGACAGCCTATAAGAATGTGAGATCCAGAAGGGGCCATTCAGCTACACCCTCATGCAGAAGAACTGGCCTATAGTAACACAGCAAAAGGGTTAAGAGGTGGGTCTTTTTACTCACAAGCAACTGAAACATTTCCTTCCCATACTTCCATCTATCCGCAGGGAGAGGAAGTTCAGTCATTTGTTGTTTGGTTGTAGAATTGGCGAAACAGGGTGGAGAAAGCATGATAACTAGAACCAAATACAAGCAAAAAGTTCTATCCTGTATAGTTCCCCTTTCTCACCTCTGAAGTGCTACAGAAAGTCCCCACCTGATCCTTGCACTATCTGAACCTTAGCAGCCTGGTCCTCTGGGTCAGTGTCCCTAGTAAGGACCTCCTCATTCTGATGCTGGAGTGAAAGCCCCCAGGCACTGGAATTGCCAGCCAAGAGTGGGACACCTAGGAACACTGACCCAAACAAAGGTAAACACACAGACACAGACAGCAGTCATAAGCTGGCAGCAATGTCCTTTCAGGGAAAGGGCACTGGGAGCCAGAGCCAGCAGGGCAAAGGGATTCATTATTGATATGTTCTGACCCAACTCTGACTAAAGGCAAGTGTTCCACAAAAAAGGAGGTTTAAAAATAATTGCTTTATTGTTTCCTTTTGAAATGTAATATTTATTTAAATAATCTTCCCTTTTTATCCCAAGCATTTCAGTGTATAAAATTTTCAGTTGAAAATTTCCCAGTTCTAGAAATGTATTGTGTAATCATTTCTCCTGCCTGCAGGTCAAGGATTAAACACAGCAAAAAGGTTTTACATAGCTTGAAGAAATAGGAAACACACCAAAAACTGACCACAAAGATAAAATTCTACTTGGCAAATAGTGAATGAAATTTAGAAGGTTATTTTTGCCTTCTAAAGAGTATTCTTAACCAAAGACTTTACAAACAAAGACACTGTCTTAGGTTGTGTTGAGAACTCACTTTAATTGAGAACTCCCAGTGAATAAGCATATCCATTTGTGTTTTAGCTAGCTGTATAATCTAACTCTGAGTTTTATACGATGCACCCAAGGAAAGATGACTGAAAAATAAGTTTGTAAGCTAATACCTGAAGGCAAATAAGGCACTCACCCAAATAGGTACAGATTTCAGAAAGAGAAGGATATGTTCAGAGTTGAACAGGTGTATGAGAAACATTCCATTTCAATAATTGATACACCATAAATCAAACTTGACAGACTGCAATATAAGTACCAAGAATAAACTTAGGCATTATCAGGTGTTAATCCTCACTTGTTCTCAGGTACTGGAGTGGGGGTCTGATTTTGGGGCTTAAATGATGATAAATAATAATAGTTTCACCATTTCCTGAGTTCTTTTGTAAGAAATTTAATCCTCACACAACCCTATGAAGAAGGTATTGCAGGCATACAATCTCTTATCTGAAACTCCTGGGGCCAGATGTTTCAGAATCCAGAATTGCCTAGATTTTAGAAAGGGAGTAGAGTTCATATAGCATATATTATAAACCCTTCCAGAAGAATTTAGGTCCATACCCATAATCAGACATTAACATTTCTTTAGAATTCATGAATATTCACACCAACTGGGTGACTAGAGAGCCTCAAAGCTCAGGCCAGGTTTCACCACCACATGAATTTGCCACAAACTTAAGAAATTCAAACTAAACCAAACCAACTTTTGCTTTTCAGAGCTCTTTGAATTTCAGAACTACAGATAACAGATAATGGATCAGTATTATTACCCCCATTGTATAGATAAGAAAATTGAGGTAGAGGGAGGACTTGCCTGAGGTCACAGAGAAGAGCCACTTAGCAACCAGAATTTAAGAGTCCATCCTAGTCCGGAAATAACAGTACCTCATCTCTAGTCTCTTAGCTCAGAATTGCAAACTTATGAAATTTTTATTTTACATTTTCCTAATTCCCAACAGTGTGGCTATTTTCTGAACCAACTTAAGAGTTACAGAATCTTTGCTGACATTAAAACAGAGTTTGAAAGTGGTCTACTTGCCATCAGTGATTCCTCTTTATTTCTCAGTATAATGTTGGCTCAATTTAATTGCAGGGAGAAATAGCAAGCGATAGAATTGCAAAATCCTGAACTAGGAGGAAGCTGAAAAAAATCCTGGACTGGAGTCTGGTACCTGCTGTACAATACGGACTTCTAGTATAGCTCTGGGGGATTCATGAATGGAGCCCTGCTCTTCTACATGGTTCATTATGGCCCTCTGTGCTCTGGCCCGATCTCTCTCCTTTTCCTTTCCCTCAAAACACACACACACACCCCACCCCACCCCACCCCATGCTCTACTCATGCAAACCTTTTAATGCTTCACACACACCATACATTCGTCACCCACAGTTCAAACACGCTATTTCCTGTCTGGAACACTTGTGTTTTTCCTCTGTTCTCCACACCGTGCCAAGACATTTAGCCATTACTCCTCAGCTAGGACTGCATCTGGTTCTGTAGACCACATTTTCTAATTTTAGTGATGAGGGTTTCATATTGACTAAATATAAATATATGACTGTGGCTAAGACATATTCTGATTACGAGTTTCGGTTAAACTACCAGGCCTGCTTTTCAGTAACTAGAGGGGCTGAGGCAGTCTGGCACAGTCAGTTCTTTACAAAGTGGAGGTACTGCTACTCTGTTTCCTTTATTGTTTATAAATGGTTCTGTGATAACACTTAATATTTATCCACTACTAAATTTAGTCTCCATGGCCCATAGTATATTTACAATTCCTTAGACTTGTCTACTTCCCTTATCTCTTACCAAATAGCTGCTATCAGCCCCAATTTTTGAGGCTTCTGCAAGTTTACAAAAAAAAATGGGAATATGATTTATGCCAAGATCTTAAAATACCCTGGTGATTTCAAATCAGCAGAGATTGCAGATTGGAGCACATCTGGCTTCTTTAAATGTCTCTGTCTCTCTCTGGGATTTCTACTCAGGTCTACCTCTCAACTCCTCCCCAACATTGATGAATTCTTTAACTTTCAGGCCTAATTTCTCCTTTTGTGGTGCGTATACTTTGTTTCTTTACTTAGCTTTAAAGTTTAATTTGCAGTTTTTGAATGCACAAGTTGCTGACTTGTGACAAAAGTGCACACTTATGTAACTACTACCACAGTCAAGAGACAGACTATTTCCACCCTTTCCCACCCCTCTCCCTAATCCCCACCCCCGCACCACGCTCATCAACATCCTCTTTGGCCCCTTTGCAGTTACCCCTCCACATAAATCCTTCCCACACAATCATGTATGTGCTTTGTCTCACTACACTTTGGCCTTTTTAGAAGTTTATGGAAATGGAGTAATGTAGCATATAATCTCATGTGCCTGGCCTCTTTCCCATAGCATGATGCTTTTGAGATTCACCCATGTTTTATTGTTTTGTGGAATTTCTTTATTAATTCAACTATTTCCAGATTGTATTTACTATGAATAAAATTCTTATGAACATTCATATACCAATCTTAGTGAGACATATGTTTCCACTTTTCTGGATAAGTACCTAGAAGGGTGATTGCTGGGTGATTACACTTGTATGCTTAACTTCATAGGAAATCGCCACACTGTGTTACAAATAGGCTGTGCCATTCCACATTGTCACCAGCAACAAATGAGGGTTTAACATCCTTCTCAGCACTTGGTATTGTCACTTCTAATGCCATTCCAGCAGGTGTACAGTGGTTCTCACTGTGATTTAAATGATCACTTCCCTGATGATTAATGACGTTGACCATCTTTTCGCATACCTAGTTCATATTTCTCTTATTTGCTGTTCTTTTTTGAAATGTCTGTTCAAACCTTTCATATTTAAAAAATTTTTTTAACTGGGTTGTTTGTATTCTTAATTTGAATCGAAAATGTTGTTTATATATTCTGGATCCAAGTCCTTTATCTGATTTAATTTTTAATATATATTTTCTCCCAGTCTGTAGTTGGCCATTTTTACCCTGTGTGCTTTTCCAAAACAGTTATTTTTTAGGACATATCATTATTTTTTTTCTGTAAGGCTCATGATTTTGTGTCCTAAGCTGTCTTGATCTAACCCAGGGTTAGAAAGATTTTCAATGTTTTCTTGAAAAATATTTATAGTCTTAGCTCTTTGCCTTTAACCCTATATTTATTTTCAGTAAATGATCCCCTCCGCTTTCTTGTCTTTTTTTAACAGGTATCCAATTGTTACAGTAACAGTTATTGAAAAGATTATCTCTATTTTTCCCCTTTTTAAATTGCCTTGGCATCTTTTTTGAAAATTAATTGACCATATATATTCAAGTCTTAATCTGGACACTACTTTCTTTCTATTGATTTATATGTCTATTCATATGTCAGTATCACACTGTCTAGATTATCTAATTTTACAGCAAGTCTAAAATCAGGTAATATG